TTAGGGTTGAGGATTTAGGGGTTAAGGGTTTTTTGAGGGCTTTTCGGGATGTTTGGGGGGTTTTTAGGGCTTTTGGGGCTTTTAGGGTTTCTAGGGCTTCAGGGTTCCAGGGTTTTGGAGTTTAGGGTTTTGGCAATTAGAGTTCTCAAGAGGGTTTTGGTGGTTTATTGCACTGCCCTCAGGGCGTACCGAAGCGTTGAAAACGGGTCTTCATAGTTCTCAGCAGGGCTTGGGGGGTGATATTGTACTACAAAGATGGTTTTGGGTTTAGGGTTTAGGGTTTAAAGTTCTAGTTTTTTTTTTTGTGTCAACTTTTCAACGGGGTTTTTGTATCGGGACTGAGGTTTTTTTTGCCATGGTGAAATCAGGGGGCTGATGAACTCAGCGTTCAGGGTTTATGTATGGGATTTATAGCGTTTTAAGAAGGGTTTCGAGGATTGTAAGAAGGGGTTGTGCTTTTTGAATAAGCGGCTTGATAGGGGTGTTAATCCGTGTTTCTAGTTTCTGCTCTCATGCACTTATTTATAGGGTTGCAATCTAGGGTTTATTCGCGGGTTGTCACAGTCACAGTACCTCTGTCTGTTGCTTGCTGGGACGGTGATTTTGCTTACAGCTGAGGTGGCGGGTTTGGAGTCGCAATTGGCAATGGTGCTTGGATTCGTGGTTGTTCTTGCCCCGCTTGCCTGTTGTATGATGCTGCTTGCAGCTCTTGCTGCTCGCACTTGTTGCTTTTGTTGTCCCTAAACCCTAAACCCTAACCTCCCCTAAAACCCCAGAGCCTTGCAGAGCCTGCAGGTTTTCGCCTATACCAGCATGTGGTGGATAGCCGCCATCATGGTCATCCTCGAGATCAAGCAGGCTGGTCAAGAAGGGTTTAGGGTTTAAGGTTTGGGGTTTAGGGGATCCACAGGCTGATGCGCACATGAAGAAAACTCAGACGCTAAAACCCTTAACCCCAAGTTTGAAACTTGGGAAGAACTTCTATCAGCATTTTCCTGATGCTGGTGGAGTCTGCGGTCGGCCATTTCAGTAGCGATCAGAAGGGGACTTCCGGACAACAAGACGATGGATACGATGACAATGGCAGCAAAGGGGTGGATGACGATGGCTCCATGCGTGACGATAGCTCCGACGACTTAGACTACCGTTGTTGCTGTCAACCACGCGCGTTACCAAAGCTACCCACGAGACGACGATCAGCCAGCAGTTCGTTGTCGTCGCAGGTCGTCATGACCACGTTGATCTTGATGTAGAGTAATTAACCGACTAAGACGATGTTGTGGCAAGTGGTCGATGGTGAGGATGATGACGATGATGATGACGACGATGATGCGGATGATGTTGTTGTTGATGATGATGCTGAGCACAGGCATTCGGCATGCGTGTGAAGATGACGAGGACGACGATGACAGAGACCAACACACAATTGAGAAGGGTAAGGACTACCAGCCACAGCTCCATGCACCAGATCACCATAGCAATACATGCAACACTGCAACACCAGCAGTGACGCGTCGTGAGTCGCGACCAGCGCCACGGTAGAGCAAGAAGACGGTTTGGCTGCGCTCGTTCAGCTGGCTTTCGCTCTCAATTCTCCGGCTCACACGTAAGTCGCCTAAGTGGGTTGAAGACAATAACCATCCAGGCCCCAAGCCACATCCTCATCCTAAACCCTTAACCCCTAAATCCTAAACCCCTCAACCACTAAGCCCTTCAACCCGCCTAAACTCCTAAACAGTCTCCGCAGAGTCTAGATGACCAAAGCGTCCCAAACCCATTACCCTCCGACCGCCTTGTTGGGCTGCTTAAGTCCCAAACCCAAGACCCCAAAAACCCAAAAAGCCTTGAATCCTAAACCCCTCAACTCCTAAGCTCCCAAAGCCCCAAGAAGCTTCCGACGCCTCGAGGTGGTGCATGATATTTTTCCCTTTCCCTTCGCTCTAACGGCGATGGTGCAGCCGACCACGGCCCTGTGTGCCTGGCTGCTCTCCAGGCTGGTGTATCTGGGCCTCTGCTTAACGGTTTAGGGTTCAGGGTTTAGGGCTTAGGGGGGTTTAGGGTTTAGGGTTCGGGGTTTAGGGTTGGGGGTTCGGGGTTAAGGGTTTAGGAAGTTTAGGCTTTAGGGTTTCGGTTGTGGGGTTTGGAGCTGGAGTTTTGAGCTCAGGGTTTGAAATGTCCTACGCCGGAAGCTCAAACCTGAATCGCCGGAGCCTAGCCCATGTTTCGTGGGCCCCCCAAACCCTAAACCCTAAACCATTTCGGGTTTGGTGTTTCGTGGACAAAAAATCTTCGAAACGTGGTACAAAATGCACACACAGTAAGTCATGCTTAGCTGGTGTGTCCTTTGACTTCCCGGTTCGGCAGCAATCGTGAGTTCGTATCCAGTCAAACAGGATACGCTCACTAACACGGACTGCTGCATGACTCTACTAACCCTAAACCCTAAACCCTAAACCCTAAACCCTAAACCCTAAACCCAGTTGAATCTACCTGCCCACACCCTGTTCGAATTGCTCATGCCCTTTAAAGGGGACCCCAGTCTAGAACTCTGTAGTACCCTTAGAGGAGCCCGACACTACCCTTAAAGGAACCCTACACTACCCCTAAAGGAACCCTACACTACACCCCTGTAGTACCCTTAAAGGAACCCTGCGCGACCCTGAAAGATCTAGGACATTTTCAGGTGGGTAGTTACCGTTATAGGAGCCTGATAGAAGGTCTATATACCTCATGGAAGCCTTGTAGAAGCCCTATATACCCTAAACTCCCCACCTGTAGTTTCCTTCACCAACCCTAAACCCTAAACCCTAAACCCTAAACCCCTAAACCCTAAACCCTAAACCCTTTCCTTTTAACCCAAGGTTCCTTTAACTAGGCCCCTTTTGTTTCCTTTACAAAACGGAGCCTTTTACCCTAAACCCTAAACCCTAACCCCAAGGGTCCCTTTAAGAGAAACTCCCCACACTGTAGTTTCCTTTCATTAAAAAGGAGCCTTTTCAAGGAGATGAGACTCGAAGCCTAAAGTAGGCTGAGGCACTCCAAGCGGCCTCCTGCGCCACCGCTGCAGTCACATGAGAACCTGGGCTCCGGGACTAGCATGGCTTCTTCCCTTGTTTTGGGTTTAGGGTTTAGGGTTTAGGGTTTAGGGTTTAGGGTTTAGGGTTTAGGGTTTAGGGTTGGGGTTTAGAGTTTTTTAGTTTCGAGTTTAGGGTTTAGGGTTTAGAGGTTTGGATTTTGAGTTTTAGGGTTTAGGGTTTAGAGCTTTGGGTTTGGGGTTTTGGGTCTTGTTCCGTAAAGGAACCCTTATGCTTTTGCAGTTTAGACTTTTTTCTCTCCACTTCAAAACTCAGGAACATGTACGTCGCAGCCTGGCGGCCTTGGTTTCCAGGGAGCCGAAGCCAGAGACACCTAAAACTCCTCCACCCCTAGCCTGAAACCCTAAGCGGCTAAACCCCTAAACCCTACTTGGAGGTTCATGGGTAGGTATAAGTGGGGCTTACCCTAATATGGGTTATAACTATATAGTTGCCCTAAAGTTACTTCTAACCCCACATCTACCTCATATAATGTAACTACCCATGAACCTCTAAGTAAGCCCTGAACCCCTAAGCCCTGAGCCCCTCAACCGCCAGCCCCCGTTCTTGAAGTAAGCAGCATCGCTTCAACTCAAGCAGGCTGTATCATCTTCGGGTGCCGTTCCGAACAAGTAGAACAAACCCCCACCGGGGTTTAGGGTTTCGGATTTTCCACGAACAAAGAAGAGCTGTCCTTCCTTTACAAAAAAATGTATTTGGGCACTATGAAGGGTTTAGGGTTTAGGGCACCGTTCCGAACAAGTAGACCGGTCCTGATGATCTGATGGGTTTACGGTGGAGGGGTTTGGAGTGCTGTGTCTACGTGAGGTTTACGATGGAGCGGTGCAGGAGAGTCGATGTCAGGCTCAGCATCGGGCACAATATATTTGCAGGTAACTGATCAGAGCACGAGATTGGCAGGCTTGCTCTGGACGGTAACATGGACCCGGCTTTGTTTCTCCCAGCTTGCAATCCTCCACAAGGTTTGCACTGTAGGATTTCTTTGGCTTGGGGCTTTGAATCAGCGTGTTGCGAAGTGCCACAGGCTTAAGGTGTCCTGTGACCCTAAACCCTAAGCCCTAAGATGCCCTAAACACAGACCCTGGAGACTGAAAGCTTGAATTCCCAAAGTCAGATTCCTAAAACGTCCCCACGCCCCAAGCCCAACAAGCCTAGACAAACTACTAAACCCTACTGTACACTCTAGAGCTTAAAGAAGAAAATGTAAACCCCAACAGTGTAGTATAATATTTACAATATCACATAATACAATGTAGCATGATGCCCTGCATCCTGCACCCTAAACCCTAAACCCTGAGCCCAAAACTTCGATCAGCTCTCCCCACGTCTTCCATTGAGGTCGTCATTGGCCTCGTGCAGGGGCTGGAAATTGGCCTCACCAACAAAGCATTGGAGCCTCCCGGTTTGGTTGGGGTTCAGGGTTTCGGGTTTCGGGTTTAGGGTTTAGGGTTTGGTTGGGGCTTAGGGTTTGGGGTTTAGGGTTTGGTTGGGGTTTAGGGTTTAGGGTTTAGGGGCCGAAATAATTACCTATGCTATTCTGGGGGCTGCTTATTATATTTGTGGTATAAGATACCCCAAAACCCTATTCTAAGTATTCAGGCCCCTAAAACGACCCCGGAAGCCCTGAACCCTGAAACCCTACCCTACCGCCCTGAATCCTCCTAAACCCTACACCCGAAAGCCCTGAACCCTGAACTTTCTTCCCAATCCCTAAACCCCTAAACCCCGAAACCCCTAAACCCCTAAACCCCCAAACCCCCAAACCCCTAAACCCCTAAACCCTAAGTCCCTAAACATCAATCCTAAGGCCCTGCTTGGAGGTTCATGGGTAGTTATAAGTGAGGTAACAAGTAGGGCAACTGTAGTTATAACCCAAACTAGGGGACTTAGAACCCCATTTATTACTACCCATGAACCTCCAAGTAGAGCCCTCAGCCCCTAAACCCTAAACCCTAAACCTTAAACCCTAGACCCTAAACCGCCTAGAGCCCTCAGCCCCTAAACCCTAAACCCTAAACTCCCCCCTTAGGTTCCTCACCGTGGCAGCTCGGACCATGATCAGCTCGACGAGTGTGCTCTTCATGATGTGTACAGCGAGGTGGGGTTTAGGGTTTAGGGTTTGGGGTTTGGGGTTTGGGGTTTAGGGTTTAGGGTTTAGGGTTTAAAGTAGGGTTTAGGGTTTAGGGGATTTCCAGGGACGTTTGGGGTCTGTTTTGGGGGGTCTAGGGGTTTAGGGGTTAGGGTTCGAAACCCTAAACCCTAAACCCTAAACACCCTAAACCCTATTTATTAAGCCCAGGGTTGTTTTAGGGAGGTTTGTGGTAGATCCGGTTGAGGAGTCTGGGTTCGAGTTCGGGCCCAAGGTCTGCGTGGGGCTTTAGATGTCTGATCTCAGGGGCTTCAGGTTTTAGGGTTTAGGGTTTATAGGATTTCAGGTTTGAGATGTCTGATATGCGGTATAAGTTAGGGTTTATGGTCTAGGGTTTTGCGGCATAAGTTAAGGTTTATGGTTTAGGGTTTTGGGGTATAAATTAGGGTTTCAGGTTTTAGGGTTTAGGGTTTAGTATCTCAGCTTGTTGTGAATGTTGCGTCTTGGATTGATGGTGTAGGTACAGGGGGTTGGCAAAGAAGCAGTACATCTGTTGCCTTGAACCTAACCAAAGCAATAGCAGGACAAAGATGCATCAACCTAGTTTTCTGAAGCCCTAAGCCCTAAACTCTAAACTCCCAATATGAATAAACCTAGTTTTCTGAAGCCCTAAACCCTAAACTCTAAACTCCCATATGGATAAGCCTAGTTTTCTGAAACCCTATACCCTAAACTCTAAACTCTAAACTCCCATATGAATAAGCCTAGTTTTCTGAAGCCCTAAACCCTAAACCCTAAACTCTAAACTCCCATATGAATAAGCCGAGTTTTCTGAAGCCCTAAACCCTAAACTCTAAACTCCCATATGAATAAACCTAGTTTTCTGAAGCCCTAAACCCTAAACTCTAAACTCCCATATGAATAAACCTAGTTTTCTGAAACCCAAAACCCTAAACTCTAAACTCCCATATGAACAAGCCTAGTTTTCTGAAACCCTAAACCCTAAAGCCTAAACTCCCTCACGAAACCCTAAACCCTAAACCCTAAACTCCCACACGAAACCCTAAACCCTAAACTCCCATATGAAACCCTAAAC